GGGATCCTCCATGGTGAGCAACAAATCCTTGACACCGTTGTTGAGGCCGAAACGAAATTGGTCAATCAAGGCTCGCTCATCCCACTAAGTGTCCAAGGCAAGGAGTTGGAACTCTGCAGCGTAGATCGAGGCAGGACGAGACCCCTGAGAGAGACGTCTCATCTTTGTGGTAGCAGCCCGAACCCGATCCGTCTCGCCAAAACATGCTTCGAGCTTCTCTTTGAACAATTGAAGATCCATCAACTCCGGAACCACGACCCCTTTCATGCTCTTCTCCAAAAGAGGAGAAAACCATGACAAAACTGCACCTTCGAGCAACGTCCCAATCACACTGATTTGAGACTCGAGAGTGAAAGATCAGCTCCATTTGGTTCAGAAATCCGCGAAGCTCCGAACGCTTGCCTAAAAATTTCGCCGGGAAACTCACCTTCGGTTCAGGAACTTTGCTGGATCCTTGAGCCGAAAGTGAAGCAAGCTCCTACTGCATGCGAAGAAGGGTCGCCTTCAGCTCGGTATTCTCAGACTAGATTTTTGCAAGGACTTCGGCAAAGAAATCAGGATGGCTTGGAGACTCCATCGGCAAAAAGAAAGAAAAAAAAAAGGAAAAAAGACAAAGGCAATCAAACAATCGAAACGAGCTAAAGCAGATCTAGTAGTTGTAGTGTTTTACATTTATGTTTTTTTTTTATGAAAGAAATATCAGAAGAAAAATCTGGGAGTGTCATATATATTTCAGTTGTTGGCTTTTCGTTGATATTGTTTATTTATATTAACAAAGAAATATTCAAGCATGAGATTTCATAGGTGGTTTTGTTAAAAGTTTTGTGTGAAAGTATGGGAAAGCTTACTTGATTCTAAGAAGTTCAGCCTTTTCTATATCATGATTTTTAAATACATATTCTGTAATTACATTAACCTTGAAGGATATGCACTTTGGTGTTTATTGGATCACTAATGAAAGGCACATTGAGATTGTAAACATCTATCACTTTGGCTTCAGTTCCGTCGTCTTGGACCATTGACACAACTTTGCAATCTCTAGAGACAGACCAGATATTCTTCTGGCTGCTTGCTGAGCAGAACATTAAGTTGTAGTTATCTGAGTGAGTAGAGTACATCATAATCCACAAGTTTTTGTCACAAACGTGCCTCAACAATCCACACACAGTGGGCCTGTATATTTCATTGGAGTGTATGAAGCAGGGTGATCCATGCAATGCCATTATATACATCTCTTTCCATGTAATACATTAGTGGGAGAATTAGGAATGTTTGTAAACAGCTGATTTACAAACCTTATGATGTTGAAAGGTTGGGAATATATTCAATGGAATCGTTGCCCCCCATCAATGAAAGTTCCCATGTAAGTCAATCCTCAAAGTGCCTAAAAACAGATGCCTTAAGATAAACAAATCACAAACTTTAATGAGCATATCACCTCAAGTGCCGGGTTCTTTCAAATGTTCCTCATGTTTCCATGCAAAGATCCAGTGCATTGTTCTAGACTCTGACCAATTCTGCATAAAAGCTTCACATGCTTCAACATCAGAAATCAAAGAGTAAAGGCACAGATGTAAAGGCAAAGGTTTATTTTTTTGAAGGAATATCAAAGTTTCTAGAATGCAAGAACTTGTTGATTACACTTTGAAAGTGAGGTAAGTGTTTTCTCTTTCTGGTGCAAATGCAAGCACATCTTTGGACTCACTGATTAAGAATTTTCCCTTTGGTGGATGTCCAAACATGTAGTGTTTGGCTTTTGTAGGGTCTTCATTCCAAGACACTTTTGTTCCATACAATTGATCAACCAAATGCAAAGGTATAGTTACTTGGAATGTGTCTTGTCCAAGGTGAAGCTGGGCCTTTAGCGTGATGTGTTCCTTTATAGGTCTTGACATATTTACATATTGCTTCATCTTTAGAAGTTTGTTATTACAGTATTAATAAGTTAATCTTGATCCACAGCATGATGAATAAACTGTGTGTATAAAAACTGGATGGAGCTTATCTACTTCAAAGTATCCAGGTATCTGCAAAACAACATGTATTTAATATGGGCTTGTTTCATTTCCTTTCGCACTTACCACTGTGCATTCCCTTGTAATATTCCAAAAAATAGTCTATTATATATGAAACAATGCTCATGCCTGTGACATTTGTTCACTTGAAATAACCGTCTCCTTGTAAATTAATGAAACATCTTGTTGGTGGAGTTCCAGAAAAAAATTCATTCATCAACTCTTTGAATAATTCTATCATGTTGCCATGGAATTTGAGCTGTCATCATATAGATTATTGCCAGGAATCCACATGCTATATTGAACTTACTATTATCATATCAGACTTGTCAATGTTATCTGCTATTGTGAGTTGACCACTGTTTTAGCCTATATTATTGATGCTCACTACAACACCTTCAACAGAACTTACAGAGTCTCGGCCTCTACATGACTCCACAAAGTTTGCAATGCTGACAGTTGGTACAGACAGACGAAGTTGTGGCACTATAAGCTATTACCTAAAAGCTTACGTTTTCTTCTTAGCATAAGAGATGCTCATCATTGTGGTGGGTCAATAAAAAGAAATATGCCAGATGCACTGGGCCTGGGTTGGAACTCAAGTCATTGTGTTGTTTCACATTTCTCTAGCATGACTCCACATTCAAATATATATAACCACAGATACCACCTACTCAAAAATAAACTGGACATAACAATAAAGGAAGTGCATAGAAAGAAAAATAGGCAGCTAGCCTCTTCCCACTCTTTCATGCACTGTGCTCCATACACAGTGTGCAAGTGGAATCCCAAATGGGACAGCATTTTGCCCGATGAGCAGGCCAGGCTCAAGGCTCAGGAGGGCATGAAATACGTTTGCCTCGACAGCTTACAGGTGCTCAACTCTGAAACTCTGGAACCGGTTGCCAAGGACGGTGTCACCATTGGTGAAGTTTGCATGCGTGGGAACATGGTGTTCAAGGGGTACTTGAACAATCCAGAGGCAATGCTGGAGAGCTTTAGAGAAGGATGGCTCCACTCCGGGGACTTTGCAGTTTGGCATCCCGATGGATACATCAAGATCAAGGATCGAGAATATTATCATTTCTGGAGGGGAGGACATTAGCAGCCTGGAAGTGGAGAGCATCTTGTACAGGTAAAAGGAGAGTTTTTTCTTCTTTGTTTCTCATTAAAGTTTGCTTCTTTTTCTTTCAGGCATCCAGCAGTGCTGGAAGCTGCTGTGGTGGTGCGGCCAGATGAGCAGTGGGGCGAGTCTCCATGTGTGTTTGTTTCCCTCAAGCATGGCGTGAGAAGCAACAAGGAGGAGATACTCTCGTTCAGTTGACAGCATTTGCCAAAGTTCATGGTGCCAAAGAGTGTCGTCATTCTCGTGGCCTTGGACAAAACTGCGACTGGCAAGATCCAAAAACAGGTGCTGTGCAGCAAAGCAAGAGCTCTTGGCAGCGTCAAGAAAATCAGCAAGCTCTACAAGCCAACTATTGAACTTGTAAAGCTTGAAATCATTCACGGCCTGGAAAATCCCCAGTCTAGCTTGGCAGTCAGCTACTGTTCCATCTGTTGTAATGTACTGGAATGAAAAATAAATAAATAACATGCAAGAACCAAGAACGCAAATCATCTACCTCAAACAGTAGCTTTGTCTTATCAGCTGTCACTCTTGCATATCCAAATGCTGACCTTCAAATCAAGCTCCATGAACTAAACTGTCGACAAAAAAAATAGGAAAGGTAGACTATCATTACCATATAAAGAGCTTGAATATAGGAAACAAAGCTGCAAGCTTACGTTATGAGGGAAGTCATCCAGGCTGAATTTGGCCATGCCAACCATGGCATGAATTGGAGCTGAGTAAATTCTAGTGTCAAAGAAATGACACCCGCTAAATCCTTGATCGGGTGCTGCAGGCAGCGGCCCTGAAACACAGCACAAGTTCTCTCGTAGTTGTGAACATGCCCCCACACTGCTAAATCAACCTGTGCAAAAAAAAAAAAAAGAAAAACGACAGTTTCATTCTAGTTTTCCCTTTGAAGAGCTCGTGTTTTACCTTGTTTCTCAAGAGCAATGGTTCCACAGCTGCTACAAATTTCGGATCCGCATTTGGTAAAGTTTACAGTTGAGTGGAGTACATAGGTCGATGACTGAAAGAAAAGTAGCACACATGAGTTTACAGAATGAAAATGTGGATAAAAACAGTTACCCTGTGAAAACTATCCATGGTGTACTGAATCTGTCGACAGATTCAAGGTCAGATTTCATCCAAGCGTACTGTAGAAGAAGGTTTCGTTGAAGTAAAGATGAAAAGAATAAGAATGCATACTTGTGCGTTGGTCAAGCTCCAGTTGTGTTCTGTAGAGATGACTGTGAAATGCACAGGGCTGATAGCCATCGAGTACCATATGTCTTGGACAGGCATCTGAAAATAAGTTCAATATGGGACTCCACACTTGCCACCTGAGTCTGGTGTGTTATACAAAGATCTTGAGCCTGGATAATCTCTGAAAACAACACAGATCAATCTACAAGTTTTTGTAAGACTTTGTGAGTACCTCGTGTGGTTTTCAATGGCTGTCATGTACATAGTCTTGGATGCTACTGGAACAGTGACAGAGAAATGGAGGCAAGACCCAACATCTACATTGTGGATAGATTTGTAAAAGAGAAAGCAAGCCATACACTTTCAGCCAGCATAGCAGAACACATAAACCAACCTTATCAAAGAGGGGGCACCATGCACGCAGCACCATTTTCTTACCAGAAGAAAATATAATTTATAACCGGAGTACACTGAAAGAGAATTCTGCACATAATCCCACACATTGATATCAGAGGAAGTGAAGGAAGTAGCATTTGCCTCTAGGATCAATGTTGACATGGACACTTTTTCTATGTCATCGAGCTAACCAAGTATGTGTGCCTTTACATTCTCAACTTCTCTTGTTTGCTCTCTTTTGTAGAGAGAAAGATGACAAGCCATGTTTTACTCGATTGAATGATTGAGGTAAGAGAGGTGTCTTCCCTTTTGTGCCACTATAAACTACACATCCACTCTTGTGATGATTTTTGCAAGCTGCTGTGGCATGCAAGCTAATGGCTCACAATCAATACAACTATTCTTTTTTTTGTTATTATCTTTGATATCTTTGTGGCACTTTTCTTTCTCATTGATGTACTGATACTTGATGTTTGTATAGGAAAAAAGATGGATTGTGTTGTTGAAATTTTAGTGGCTGGCTAACAGCTAAAACCAACACAATAAAGTTTCTAAATTCTCTGCTAATAATTTGGAAGGAAATTAATAGCTGGGAAAGAAATAAACACCATTTTGTTTAAGTTAGTAGAACTGAGTTTACAGAGCTTACTTTTGGGTATGTTCTCTCAAGGAATTGCTGAAATCCATGTGTTTGCTGGGAGTGTTGTGTACATTTCTGTTGTTTAGTAATTTTGAAAATTTCATATTAATCTTTATATCTGCAAAATCATAACATGCATAGCAAACATAATATAACAAACACACATAAATCAGAGATGTTTAAGCACCCTTATCCTTGGATGTGCTGGTGTATGGCTATTGGGAAGAGATATCCAATTATGAGATGAGATAGGTGGTTTGTTGGTGGTTTTGAAAGTGAAGGTGTAGCAAAGAATACTGAGTGTAAGAAGAAGCTGAGCTTGCTTTGTACTGCCATTTTTAAATACATATTCTTGACGTAATTACATGTTTTATGAGTAAAAGGCTTTTTGGAATTTTTATAATTACATTAACCTTGAAGGACATGCACATTGGTAGTCATTGGTTCACTGAAAAAGGTATACCAAGATTGTAAACATTTATCACTTTGGCTTTAGTGCTATTATCTTAGGTCACTGTTGCAATCCCTTGAGATGTTCTTTCTGTAGCTTGCTGAGCAGAACAGTAGCTTGAAGTTATCTACATAAGAAACATTTGCCAAATTGAGCAACATCCACATGTTAACAATCTAAACATTATGGGATTTTAGATCCAGTTGAAGTGCACAAACAGTATCACCCATGCAATGCAATGACATCCATCTCTTTCTAGAAAAGAATTGGAAAAGTTAATAATAATATTACTACCTACAAACATATTAATTTGGAAATATCATTAATAGGATTAAAATTCATGTCACTAACCTGAGTGACTAACCTTAGTCACTTTTAATAAAAGAACATATATAAAAAAAAAACCAAAAATAAGATAGAAAAAATGAATAACATATTTTCAAATTATTAGCTTGGATGTATCATTAGTAAATTGTAGTAAAAATTATATGCTCTTTTGAAGAAGTCTCATTCTTGAAGTGTATTCCTGATGTTCCTACTGTTTGACCTTGGAACCAGAAGAAATCCACAGGAAAGTTCCATAGGAGGGAAGAATGATGGTTTGAATGTCAGTTTTCTTCAGAAACTATCAATGTTTTATTTTGCTTCTATTTACTAGGCGTATTTACTAGGCATAGGTATTTGTGTGATAGGGTTTTCAAGAAGAGAATTTGACTTTGGGCATCTAGGAAGTCATGTCACTAACTTGAGTGATGGATAAATAAGAAATCAAAACTCAAATGCTTACAATCTCTTTTATTTTCTCAAGGATATTCTTCTCATGTGAGGTTCTCTTTCTAGCCTCTATTTCTAAATAAATATTCTTGGTGACAGTTTTCCAGTTTGGCTTTACTTGCTGGAATTAAGCTTAATAGTTGATAAGCTATATTCTTTTTTACTAAAGTGAACCTATGATAGAGGGTAAACATATCTCACAAGCGTGTTGCTAAAAATATGTATTAATTGGAAGAAGGAATCATTAGCACAAGAGGACATTCTTTTAGATTTGCAACTATAAAGAGTGAAAGGGTGCAATTGATGGGACAAGTGTTGCTTCTTAGAGATAAATGAAACAAATATTCATCAACAAATAATGATTTCCTAATGCACTTTGTGCCCATCACATTCTATCCTACAGCAACAAGTGTTTCATATAAGTTCAAGTACCAACTTAGCATAGTTGCTAGCACTTTTTGAAGTCAAAGGAATCCCTCTCTTTTAGCATAGCATTTAAAACAATAGAGTGCCACATGATAGCTCTAGCAATGAAACTCACAACTTCATTGACAATTCAGAAATATAGTATAGGAGATCATCTTGATATACAAAACTTAGTCAACACAGTTTCCCATGATAAATTATTTCAATGGCTACAAGAAATTAACACACCATTATTTGTCAATGAATAAATGTATATCATTATTCTTGTGGATTATCGAGTTAAATAGATTGAGTGCACTATTTGCATTAAATAAGGATGTCCACTATGTTTATCTTATACATTAATGCCCTTGAGAGTTTAATGTGTCATTAACACTTCTTGGAAATCTATATAACTGACCATTTCATTTTCACAATAAGAATTTGACCACCTACAAACTAGCAAGAATTCCTTTGACTTCAATTGTTGTTGATACTTATATTTCAGAGAATATAACAATTAATACTATCTAATTAGATATCAAATTAATATATATACAAGAATATATTGATATTTAATATATGTTTAAAATAATACAAAATATAGTAATTTTTTACTAAAAAAATATAGAAACTAATTATCAAAATGTTTATGAAAGAAATATTTACAACTATGATTTATATTAATTTTAAGATGAATATTGTAGAAAACGCTTCTCTTGTAAACTCAATATGATTTATAAATTAATTGTACTAATAAAAATCCTCCAAAACTAATGATGTTTTTTAAATTTCTTCAATTAGGTACATGATTTTGATATTTATATCATCAACAATTTCTCCAAGTTTAAAACAGAAAATAGTTTATAGTATAATTAGTAATTTATATTTCAAAATAATAGGACTGTTTTATTTTTTTCTTTCTTCAAATACTCCTTTATCTGGTTTTTAACTTAAATAATTTATACTGTAATTTATTTATTTTGTAATATTAAAATTTACTTCTTAATACTCTTTTTTTATATTTTTCATCTTGTAAAACCCATCTATAACACTTAAATTTTATTGCCTTTGTGTACATCCTTTGGAGTTAAGAATTAAAAACTGTAAATAAAACACCTTGTCCAAGAGTTTTGAGTGCACACCTCTAGGAATATCATTTGATTTGTTTTATGAAAAAAAAATTTATGCATATATTTCAAGAAGGTGGGAATATGTGGATATTGTAAGTTGATTTAACATATATAACAAAAGCATGTAATGCTTTTGTTAGACTTTGACCTAAAATATAAAACTAAAATAGATAATGAAATTATGGTACTCTAGAAATAAATATAGAAAGAA